CTACCTACCTACCTACCTACCGACCGCCTCCCTGCCTACCACCTACCTCCCTACCTAGCCACCCAGCTAGATACCTAGCCAGCCATTCATCTATCTACCTATCTATCAGTTTGTCTGTTTGTCTATCTATATCTACTTCTCTATGAGTCTATAGTTGACATGTAGTATACCACGCAAGAAAACTTCAACTTGTCGCGGTTCCTCTTCTGGCAGCTATGTTCAGAACCTAAGTTTCCGTGCTTGGCAGGATTTCGCCGACTTCACCCCGAGCCGCTTGTTCATCTACTACAACGAGCGCCTTGTTGAGGGCAGCGTGAACCAGGATGCTGGGGCCATGATCCGCGACGGCATCAAGACGATGTCCAAGGTGGGCGTCTGCCCTGAGAGTGTCTGGAAGTACGACGACGGCCCTGACTTCTTCAAGCAGCAGCCGGATTCCAAGTCCTACGAGATCGCACAGAAGTGCAAGGTCATCGGTTACGCCCGCGTTGCGCAGGACCTGAGCCAGATGAAGATGTGCATCAAGAGCGGCTACCCCTTCGTCTTCGGCTTTGCTGTCCTGTCAAGCTTCCAGACAGCAGAGGTTGCCAGCACAGGCAGGATGGTGATGCCTCAGCCAACCGACCAGCAGCTTGGCGGCCACGCCGTGTGCGCCGTAGGCTACGATGACTTCCAGCAGTGCTTCATCGTCCGCAACTCCTGGGGAGAAGGGCAGCTCGTCTGGTTTCAACTCGGCATTTCATCTACCGCCGGCTTAGGTTTAAAGGTTTAATATAGGGGCCTTAATAATTAGAATAGGGTTTTGGGGCCCATCATACTATAATTATAATGAGGAACCCCCTAAAATAGTATTGGGAATTATTTCGGCCTCTACAGTAACTTGCAAGTTCACGGCAGCAATTATCGACCCGTTCCCTGCCCGACGTGACCTCTTGTGCTCAGGTGGGGTGACAAGGGATACTTCTACATGCCCTACGAGTACATCTGCAACCCAGCTCTTGCCATGGACCTCTGGGCCATCAACTGGGTCGAGGGCTTCAAGAACGCGGAGGCGGCACAGTTCACGCATCCAGGCTGCATTCTGCAGTGAGCCTGATGAGTTTTGTTTGGCGGGTCTGCGATCATGGCGGCAGCTGTGACGACGACGTATATACACGCTGACCTCAACCCCAAAGCCCCAACCCGGAGCACCCGAACCGAATGCAACAGCCTTTAGCCGAGGTTCCCTGAAACTGAAAGAACACTAGGGAAGCCTCAATACTTACCAGTATGATTCTTAGGGATCCTTATCATAAAATCTACTCTAAAGGAGCCCAAAACCCTATTATTCCAATTATTAAGGCCCCTACCTTAAGAACCCAAAA